GAAGTCCTGATATTTGGTTGAGAGGATTTGGACTTTGTCGAAATTAATTTGACGGCTAGGGGTGTTTTGCTGGTGGTCTGAGAGGGCTGATTTGCCGTCTGCTTTGGCTGTTGAAGTCTTATGTTCTTTGGTGCCGGTATCTACTTGGCGGGAGGTTTCAGCAATGTACGAGTCACCACAGTCACAGTTAATCTTATAGATTACTCCTTTGGGGGCTGCTTGTTGGAGTGTTGGAGTCGGGGTTGCGGCCATTAACTAGTAGGATGGTTCTTAGGGATGGGGAGTCAGTGAAGATGGTGCATGGGGTAGATGCCTGCTTGGTGCTTGTTTGATGTGAGGCCTTGCAAGTGAATGGTAAGGTGATTGTGATAGGGCGGATGATGGTCTTGTTGGTGTAGGTTTGGGCTAGAGTGTGGTGGAGATGGTCCTCTTGACTAGCTTGGTCGGGTTCTGGTTGAAATTGGTGAAGACTTAGTTTTCAGGGTTGGATAGAGTTGATAGAGTTGATAACTTAAGCACCATGCAGGCATCGACAGCATCTTCACAGGCTCCCAATTCTTTAGAACCACCCTCCCGCAATGTCCGCAACCCCCCAGTGCCAATCAAACACTCATGCATGACCTTTTTGATCTTATACGATGACTGTGCAGGAATAGGAGGACCAGTAAATGACAATTCATTCGTATGCAGCTATTTTTTACGACCTCATATACTGAGTGTCATTAACCACGCTTGAGAGTGTAGTCCATAACGAGGGGGCTGTAGTTTTTCCTGCTATGCTTTCATCATTGCAAGGATCATAATTTTACTTATGCCTATTTTGCAGCTTGATGTTGATGTCCTGCATCACTTTTGTGGTGTTACATATATGCTACCAGGAATATGGACTGTGTGATAACACCATGTGTTTGTGCATGTACGTCAGTTTGCCCTGTTTTGATTATAGAAACATGTATATATTTTTGTTTATATCCTGTCAAGCTGTTTTACACTACACATTCATAGATGCTTTCAATCTAAATTTTCTTTTCTCCATGGGACACATTTCAGCTATTTGCGCCTTTGCTATATGTCTGAAATATTGCCAAGGCGACATTTAATACTAACTCACTCTTATTTCGAATAAACAACAAGTTCAATATCCTATTGGGTTTTACAGGTGATCATTCTTGGATTGGGCTTCGCAAAGTCTCTGGAACTTGGAAATGGAGCAATGGAGAAACACTTGGGCCTTTCAGTGCCTGGGAAAAAAATCATCCCATCAATGGCAAGGAGTGTGGAATTTTATCAGGGTACCTTCAAGGATGGTCATCATTTTCTTGTCTAACTGGTACTAATATTAACTATATATGTGATAAAGAGGTCAATTCTTATTCACGTCTTAAGCTTAAAACATTAAAGTGAAAACAGAAATGTAATGTTTTGCATTTGGCGCATTAGTTTCTTTGTTCCTTAGAATGAAATCACGTGCGATCTCATGTAAAAGCCACACAGATTCTGATGTCATTAAATCTGTGAAACATATTTCCGCCTCAACATGACTACACACTACACGAATAAAACAATTTCTTGACGTTTGGAATAGTATGGGCATTATTCTAATTGCATATATTGCACATATAAGCAAAGTTGAGGGTATTTTGTTTTCGTTTGACACTACACCAATTTCGGGCAATGAAAGTAAGTGATTTATGTAGCATTTCCGAAGAAATCAAGCTCCCAAACACAACATTGTAACAGTCATGAAGCACGTGACCTCGGGCAGAACATGCAAAGGGTGGTATGACAGATTTACGATTGTCACTCAGATTCAGACACTTTAATAAACATATTTGATAATTAAGGAAGCAACAGTATTGATTAAGCGACGTTTGCAACGTGTTAAAAGTTTACGTGCGATAGGCATGTTGCGGGTGGGCACATGTCAGAATAATGTTGCCCAAACGCTGCATATTTTCTAATCTGTCATCAGCAGTCCCTTACCAGAGCGTAGTGACATACTTATATTTCATGTGTGCGTATACGATTTGAAATAAATATAACTTGGGAAGTTTACTATTCTCAAACCATATACGGCGTTAGACGTTAGAAATTAGACATTTCCCTCAATTCTACAGAAATAAATAGGAAATTATACAATTTCAAATGATTTGCAGAGTCACGTTTAGCACATATGAATTGCGATTACCTTCTATAAGTTTAAAATGCTTGGATAGATAGAAGCCGATACGTGAGTTGTGTGTCATTTTATTTTCCTTTCATTGCCATATACAGGTATATGTATCAAATTTCAATCGAACCGTACGAAAAAATGGAAACATAAGTAAAGATAACTAATATTAAATATGAACGGTGTTTCCCTACACAGCCTGTAAACGAAATAAAGGCTCGTTATATTAGAAATTAATAATTAATTGCAAGAGGCAATGAGGAAGATCAATCTTAAGCTTGTTTCTAACATTATACTATAGTGGACCATGTGAGGAAGAATTATTGCGAGAGAAACATTATGCCTTCAGTGCAAATAAACACTAAGGTTTTAGATTAAATTAACATTGATGAGAAACTCATATATTCCAAGATAAAATTCATGTGAAGCTTTTGCTGGCACTGTTGGGTTAATAAAAAAATGTATTGTACCGCCATTTTAGTTACCAGTAGAATAGTATATTCAGTGAGAGGTACGGAATAACAACGCAGTCAAATGGAAACTTAAGATACATGTTTGTTTGTTTGTTTGTTGTTTAACGTCTTACTCAGCAATATTCCAGCTATATGACGGCGGTATGTAAATAATCGAGTCTTGACCCGACAATCCAGTGATTGACACCGTGGGCATCGATTCACGCAATTGGGATACGATGACATTTATCAACCAAGTCGGAGAGTCTGACCACCCGATCCCGTTAGTAGCTTCTTACGTGTACCATACCGTTTTGCATTGTAATTAACCCTGTAATATGATTTGTTTGTTTGTTGTTTAACGCTAGACTCAGCAATAGTGGGGCTATATGACGGCGGTCTGTAAATAATCGAGTCTTGACCAGACAATCCAGTGATTGACATCGTGAGCATCGATCCAAGGTAGCTTCAACGTGAGCAATATTAAAATTGAAGTCTGTGTGAAGGTTGTCATTATCTATGATTGAGACAAATTGAATAGGTTCAAGGTGTCCCAAAAGTCCAACGATCGTAGGTTATGAAGCAAATCCACGTTCTTGTGGCAATTATATGTTTGATGTCGAACACATGGGCACTTTCTTGATATCAATAGTCGAATATGTGTCATTTCCTCTTCACCTTGTTAAATCAAAGTAAAGTAAATTATTGCGGCCACAATAACGATCTTTCATCCCAGTTATTGTTTGGTGTTTTTTGTCATCAAGTGACGTTTCTACAGTCTGGTTCTACTTGCCGGCTTCTGTTTTAATGGGGTTCATCAGTGTTGTTCTTTGTACTTTTACATTCTATTTTGTGTCGTGAAAACAACTTATAAAACCTCGTCAATAAAATGAATGCTTGCTTATCCTTTGTGTCTCTTTGTACTGATGCCTGCGTGATTCAGTTTCAGATTGGGGTCAGATGGGAAAAAAACCTATCCTCTGTTTCCGTTCACAGGTGGCGCAGTCGTCTTAGGCGTCGCGATTCGCTGTGCAGAGTTGCGTCCCTTGGGCACGCCAGAAACGTATGATTGTGGGTTCGCATCCCGGTTCGCCCCGATTATGTTTCTAAGTTTGTCAGCACCATACCCGTGCTCGTGGGTTTTACCGGTGGTAAACGTCTGAGACCTGCATCACTTCGTGCTTTCCTCCCACATTAAGCTGACGCGCCGTGATATAACTGCACTACTGTTAAAAGCGGCGTTAGACCCAACTCACTCACTTCTTTCACTCGTTTCATGAAACTGGTGTTAATAACATACCTCCCGTTATGTAAAACATACACCCAGTGCAGTACATATTGCAACAGAAAGTCTCTATGCCACTTTAATCATTAAGTTATATGTCTTCCAATTTAACGACCTTGACCCTCGTTTCAGCCAATTGTATTCTTGCTAAGTTCCAGCTGTAGATGAAAACATTGTCACTAGTTTTGACAATTGACATACGAACACTGGGTTGGTTCAAAGCATAAAGAGGCACACCTAATTATAAGTTATGAATCAGCATTCCCGTGTCTGGTCTGTTCAAGTAAGTTCCAAAGGAGTATACGACACAATATATATATATAATAAAAGCCAATGACCTACACTATGTTCAGTGTGTAGCAAATGCTACATTTATTACACTAAATGCCTCCTATGGACATTATACTGCCTGGAGATTGTCATCACTTGTCATACATGAGTATTTAAAACATAATTAGGAAAGTGAAAAAATCGGCTTGTTATAATTCCACTTTAGTAGTCATCTTTGTGAAGCCATTCGAAGTAACAGCGATCTGACTGGATATGGCATTTTCACCAAAAGGGATACAACTCGTGTTCTACATGGGATGGCTCCGCGATCGAGCCAAGAAAGTAAGTTGGGAATTTCAAGGGTAAAAACTGGGCTTGGATATAAGCTAGTGGACACTCTCGCCTTCATTCGTCACGACTCGCCCCTTTCCATAACCTGCAAGAAGACTCGTTCCCCTATCGATGAATGTTATGTGCGAAAATACGACAAACCAATCAGAATGCGCGTATGATTTCAAGTTCTTCGTCAAAGAATCCCTCAGAAATAATATTTGATTTTATTGCTTGCATCTAAAAATATACCCAAGACACAGTTAAATGTGTTCAAACATACTGTATAATTCCGCATGTCCAGATCTGCTTTAAATTGCATCTGTAATATATATAATATACGGGGAAATATGTGTGAACCATTACACAACAAGTTGACAATTGCGTAAGGTATGCCCGTTTGCGCCAAGACGGAACCCGGTCGCAAAAATGGCCGCGAGAGGGGCACGAGTCGCTATTCGGCTTGTCCCGGAATAACACGAGTTGGTCACGAATGTCTCGCCTTGGGAAGATGGAGGCCATCATGCCACGACACAGTCAGACCCGAACAGGGCCGACGGACAAACAGCTGACAGACAGGTCCAAGCTTTACAAAAGAAACAAAGTACCAATAAATACTTGCTCTTTCAAATCACACACTGTTTTATTCATCACTAAACATACAAATGTTTACAAGTTTATATTATCTGTACACTGCAAACCTTAATAAACAGTTTTAACATTGCACTTTTCCGGATTTTAACATCTTTGAGATTATGACAACCTTCAATGAAAGCACTTATTAAACAAACATGCAAAACATATTCAGAAATTTATTTAGGTATTATTAGCGTACTTACAAAAATTTGGGTTCTAGTACCAACGTAAATTCAAATTTCTCTCTCAATCGACTTTCGCAGCAGACGTCACATGTGCTTTCACAACTAATGATCCGGATCATTCTCCGGGTCAAACCTTATGAACTTGTCAAATTAACTGAAAATACTGAAAGAAGCTCTCGTAAAAGGAAATCTAACCTTGAGCACAAAATGCTATCCTACAACTACCATCGCAGATAACCTGGTCGATCAGAAAGCGAAAAGATTTGAGATTTCATTCCTTACGGACAAACAAAATGACAAGATTGAGACAATAAATATAGTCATCACTGTCTCATTTCGATCTTACAATACCAGAGGCATTCCTAATACAAGTGAGGCTACACAGTATCAAGTACCACTGCATATCGCGGCAACATGAAACGCTCAGCAGTTTATCTTGATGTCCTGGAACTGGTAAATAAATGTGAGCCAGCACCTTGAGAAACATATCCGAAGTTTACAGTGGTTAAATCCATACAGATTTACACTGATGGCCCAGTGTCTGGTCGTGTTGGTGCTGGTATATTCATCGTTAATGAAATGAGAGAACTTTCTATCCGATTGGATGATTCTCAGTATTTTTCTACTGAACTAGGAGCAATCATTGAAGCATTGCGTTGGATTAATTTTTTAAGGCCTGTTTCAGCGGTAGCAATTCGGGTAGGTTCTTCCTCAGCGAGACAGGACTTAATCAGCATAATTCTCGTCCTTTATAATGACTGAAGTAAACATCTGTTAGATGTTGAATTTTCATGGATCCCTGCTCATGTTGGATTACTTGGAAATGAGAAAGCTGATAAATTGGCAAAAGCTGCATTAGAATTTGATGAAACAGAACAGGATGAAACAATTTTACCTTCTCCTGCAGAGTTAGGCACCGTCAGTATGACGTACCCATGCTAAAACAAAATGGCAGCAGAGATGAGCATCATCCTTAAAAGGACGTCATCTCTATGGCATCGATCCTTTTATCACTAAATTACACATATCTAGAAATAATCGGAGAGAGGAGGTTCTCTTAACCAGACTTTGTCTTTGGTATTGTGGTCTTGGTGATTATCTAAATGTTATTTATAAAGACATTTCTGCACATTGTACAGTGTTTCATCAGCTTGATAATATAGCTCATTTTTTATTGCATTGCCAAAAGTATGTTAATCAGCGTAAGGCAATGGTGGAGACTCTAACAGTTCTCAATATTGACTTCTCATTGTCTGGTATTTTATGTTCTAGGAATATTGTTCACTATGACGTTCAGAATGTCATTCTCGCTTATATTTAAGCGCGTGGCAGTTTTGATACTTTATAAAATATCTAGGTACTTAGCAAACCTTTATTATGGGCAAGGTGTAAATGGGCTTAGTTGCCCGAACAACTATAAAACCTGTTAATGATCAATCAATCAAACGTTCAGCAGAGTGTCGTCTAAAACAATTGTAGTGTATTCAGAATTCAGTAGGACTGACGCTTTAAGGACGGAAGACTCGTGGAGGATCCATAATAAGGTACTGTAGGCAGTCTCACCATACATTTGTTGAGGCATTTGTATATATTTTAGACACTGCCTCTGTGGGAAGTAAAAATATGTGACACGAACTACGAACATGTAACAATTGATGTAATCGGTATGTTTCCTTCCTTTATAGGAGAAACAGATATTGACTTTGATCTGGTGTGTGTGTGTGTGTGTGTGTGTGTGTGTGTGTGAGAGAGAGAGAGAGAGAGAGAGAGAAAAAGAGAGAGAGAGAGAGAGAGAGAGAGCGAGAGAGAGAGAGAGAGGGGGGGGGGGGGGGGGGGAGATTGGTGCACTAATCTGGAATCATGGCGGTTTTATGGTGCTAGCCCACTGATATACCATAGCACAGTCTTCACAGTTTTTACTCCGAGCTGACCAGTCATTGTGTATTACCGAGCGCCAGGCAGGGTAACAGATTAAGATTCTTTTTATTTCTCAATAGACCACCGACAGTGGTACAAGAGCATATATACAGTACAGATATAAATATAATATGTACATCAAGAACGCTGTGTGCATTTAGAGCATTCCAAGTGGTCAATACAAATAATACATATTTTGATAGACGTTTAAGCTCGTTTAGGTTAGTTGTTGAAAATAGGCTTTTTAACGAAAACACATGTGTTAATGTGTGTTTAGTGTGTTAGATATGTTAACCGTTAGTTTCCATTTTCGACAGTATAATGGGAGTGAGTTTAAAGAAGTTTGTAGAGATCCAGGGTCGGTACCAAATGGAACTGTGTCATCAGCGTACAGCAGTAACAGGAGCTGAACACAGAGAGTAAATTTTACTTCTGAGGGGCGTTACGTTGATACCTTGACAACAGTTTTCTATCAACCACGGCTCGAGGTCTAGCAACAGGTACCACCCTTTAGGGCCTTTCGGTATAACAGGTATGAGCCACTTATCTTCCGGGACATTTACATCATGGGTAGATGCAATCAATGTAAAACACATTGTCAATGACATTTCAAGAAATTCCAGAGAAAACTAACGACCCGCACTACCCGTTAAAGTCAAAACCTTGAAAATGAAGTCAGTCATGAATACCTGTGAAGATTATTTCGCTCTAGTTTTATCTCTTAAATGAAATAGGAATTATTATTAGCCTTAAAAGGTTATATTTGATCGGGCCATCCAGATGAGATTAGGACCAGGCATTCCAGATCCATTTCATATGTTTCAGTGTGGTGACTAAGGCTATCCATAGATGTCCATCCCACACCAGGAGAGATAACTGTTTTATTCCATACAAATGACTTTTCAATAGAGAATAGTACTCCGGATATAATACAAATAGTCATCACAAATATTTAGCGACTATGCTTGTTGTAGGAGGCAACTAACGGGATCGGGTAGTCAGGCTCGCTGATTTGGTTGATGCATGTCATTGATCCCAATTTGGTGGGACGATGCTCATGATATCAATCACTGGATTGCCTGGTCCAGACTCAATTATTTACAGACCGCCGTCATATAGCTGGAATATTGCTGAGTGCGGCGTTAAACAACAAACCAACCAACCATAATCACGAAGTAATCTTTGAAATTGGCAGTCTTTGAAGCTATACCTTGGTATGCATGTTTCTGCGACGTTAAACAACAAACAAACAAACAAACAAAACAAAATTGTTCTACCACGCCTGTGGTGGGGCACCTAGCCACGTTAATGACAACTATTAGAGTTTTGAGGCCTCATCGTTTTGAAAGGTCCCGTAGTTCAGTTGAAAGCGTGTACCATTGAAGGAGGGTAATCTCAGCCCCTAACAATTAACATGAACATCTACACACATTGTAGCCCGGAATCCCTGGGTTCGATCCCAGGTCGCGTCATACCCAAATACGCTAAAAGATGGGCATTAAGAGGCTAAAACAAGGACTTGGGGTATTCACATTAAACTGCGGCATGGTATTTTTATGGGCTAGCACTATATTTCGGCATCGGTCCGGACACGTAGAAGCAGCGACACACACACACACACACACACACACACACACACACACACGCGCGCACACACACACACACACACACACACACACACACACACACACACACACACACACACACACACAGCACACAGCACACAGCACACACACAGCACACACACACACACACACATGCATTTCTCGTCACTATATAAGTGCAATAATCTTGGCCACGTCCCCTCACCTTGATCATTACAGGAGCAGATACAGTGAGCGGTGGAGTACGATGCTGACCTGATACTGACTGAAACATTTGTTGAACTTGGGGAAGCCAAGCTTGCTCTTGAGTGCATCCAGAAGTATGGACAAGGTACGGCTGAAACATAATTCTTTTGTGTTTCGAAAACATATCTCAATCCTATCGCGTGTATATATAGTTTTTACTTTTATGTCCTTTGGGGACATGTAATAAACCTTATATATCAGTCAGTATATAACTAGCTTTTCAGTTATTGTAATGGAATTTGCTATTGTATGTTTTCCCGAATCACATAATACTTAATTCAACGTATCTTAGGGGCGGCCGGGTAGCCTATATAGTGGTTAAAGCATTCGCTCGTCACGCCTAAGACCCGGGTCCGATTCCCAACATGGATATATGTGTGAAGCCCATTTCTGGTGTCTCCGCCGTGATGTTGCTGGAATATTGCTAAAAGCGGCGTAAAACCATACCCACTCACTCACTCACTCAACGTATCTTTCACATTACAGGCAAACCGTCCGTTGTGAACATTAACCCTATCGCCGCCGACAAGACACTTGATGGTATACCCTACGCCGAAGCCTGCCGCCAGCTGGAAGCTGCTGGGGCCGATGTTGTAGGCTACAACTGTTGTCGCGGACCCGCTACTACCATCCCACTGATCCGGGAGCTGAGAAAGACTTGCAAGGTAAACACACACAGTGTCAAGAAGGAGAAGGGACATTTCCATAGAAGATAAGCTGTGACGACATGTAAGGGAGATACTCTCACAGGCCGATAGAAAACGTTTTCATATGATGGGGATATCATCATCAGCGAAAGATTTACGTACTGTATACCAAATACATTACACAACATTTGTTGAACCAATCGCTGTTCAGTGCTTTAACTACAGCACATCATTTTAATGAACTGTATAACCATGTAAAGTTGCACTTGAAGAACATAAGGGATGGGTTCCTTACAAATGTTCTTGTTTTGTTTAGGGTCCGATAGCTGCCTTCCCCGTTCCCTACAGAACATCACCTGAGTTCCCAACAATGCAGTCGCTCATTGACCCGTATACACGTAGGTGCAGTCCACGCCGTCCAACATGAGTGAGTGAGTGAGTATGGTTTACGCCGCTTTTAGCAATATTCCAGCAATATCAGCAGAAACGGGCTTCACACATTGTACCCATGTCGGGACTCGAACCCCGGTCTTCGGCGTGACGAGCGAACACTTTAACCACCAGGCTACCCGACCGCCCCGGTACAACATGAATGCACGTGTGTGTGTGTGTGTGTGTGTGTGTCTGCTTGTGTGTATGTGTGTGCGTGCGTGCGAGCGTGCGAGCGTGTGTATGTGTGTCTGTGTCTCTATGTGTGTGTGCCTGTGCGTGTGCATGTGCATGTGCGTGATTCTCGATTTAAATATTCGCGAATTCATGAACCATTTAAGGTGAAAAGCATTTGTTTTCCTCATTGAAACCATTTAAGGTGAAAATCATTTGTTTCCTCATTGACAACCAGGACAATGTTGATGAAACGATTTCTATATTTTCTGCCACAATAGCAGTTAATAAACTAATACATTTCTAAGAACAGCGGGAAATATAATATCCTGTTCTTAAAGCATTCTGGTAGCCTCTACCTTTTGGGTCGAATCCACGATTTGCACGAAACATCCAGGTGGTCTTTCGTTACAGTGCTAAACTCTCGTTATGAAAGTGGTAAACTCTCGTTATGAAAGTGGTAAACTCTCGTTATCAAAGTGGTAAAATCTCGTTATCAAAGTGGTAAACTCTCGTTATCAAAGTGGTAAACTCTCGTTATCAAAGTGGTAAAATCTCGTTATCAAAGTGGTAAACTCTCGTTATCAGAGTAATAAATTATCGTTTTCAAAGTGGTAAACTGTCATTTTCAAAGTGATAAACTGTCGTTATCAAAGTGGTAAACTCTCGTCATCAAAGTGGTAAACTCTCGTTATAAAAGTGGTAAACCCTCGTTATCAAAGTGGTAAACTCTCGTTATGAAAGTGTCAAACCCTCGTTATCAAAGTGGTAAACTCTCGTTATGAAAGTGGTACACTCTTGTTATCAAAGTGGTAAACTCTCGTTATCAAAGTGGTACACTCTTGTTATCAAAGTGGTAAACTCTCGTTATCAAAGTGGTACACTCTTGTTATCAAAGTGGTAAACTCTCGTTATCAAAGTGGAGAACCATCGTCATCAGACAATGAAATAACCCAGCTTCTGATTGTTTTGCTTCCGGTATTGTTGCGGGTCTATACCCCCAACTACTCCATCATTAGTCTAACACGCCGTCATATAACTGAACTACTATACACATCAGAGTTAATCCCAAATCACTCACTCACTCACTCATTGTCCTATTTGCAGGCAAAAGGGCCTTCCCAGACCTCTCTTCCCAACTGTGTGGGGTAGCGGAGGTGACGGATTTCGCCAAAGAATGCAAAGAAATTGGTGTCCAGTTTGTCGGCCTCTGTTGCGGAAACACGCCGGCAATGACAAGGGCCGTCGCCGAGGTCTACGGCCGTCGTCCACCTGCCTCCATCTTCTCTCCAAACATGGAGAAACATTTCATCTTCGGAAAGGACAAATACTTCTCCGACAACTTCTACCTGACCCAGCTTAGAGAGGGCATGTCGAAAACCAAGTGATTTGACATGGTCAGACAAACTCTTGACTCACATTTTAACGTTGTGAAAAGCTGTTATGTATCAGCTGTTGTGAACATTAGTTTGCACATAAAGTATTATATTCCAGATACCAAGTATCTATCAATCCTGCTTGTAGCTAGTTTGTAGCTAGTAAATACCTCATTTAGACGCCAATAGCCTTGCCTTTTCGAAGTCAGGTTTCTTAGTTTGTGAGATAATTGTATGTATTGTGCTGTATTGTCCACTCAGGAGATGATACGATTTCACGCAATATTTCAAAATGTTGTTTTGTTGTATTCTCTCACATAAAATAGTATAATACTATAATAATTGTTTCCATTTTGATTTAAGTTATTTCATTTTGTTCACACCACCCCAATTGAAATGCGTAACTTATAGGTGAGGTGAAATTGGGTTTAAGATTATTGCACTTATATAGCGACGTGCATGCACGCGTATGTGTGTGTGTGGCTGCTTGTACTAGCCCGGACTGATGCCGATTTATAGTGCTAGCTCACTGAGATACCATGCCGCAGTTTAACATGAATACCCCACTTAGACACAGTATACTGACTCCGAGCCGACCAGTCCTTGTTTTAGCCCCTTATTGCCGAGCGCCAGACAGGGTAACAACAAGTACAATCTTTTAACGTCTTTTGTTATGACGCGGCCCGGGATCGAACCCTGGACCTTCCGCTCTCCGGGCGGACGCTCTACCACTAGACCACAGAGGCGGTCGCGTAACTTATAACTTCCAGGGGACAACTTTTGTTTGAGCACCAGCTGTAAGAATTTCTTATCCCAATTGGCGGGAGTATAGCTTGATAGAGGAGCTAATTACTCATAAAGTGGAAATCTAAGCTTCTGAACTCCCAATTTGAGCAAATATATTTACTTACGCTGGACCGCCTCGTGGTCTGGTGGATAGAGCGTCTGCCCTGAGAGCGGAAGGTCAGTTGTTCGACCCCCGGCCGCGTCATACCAAACGACGTTAAAGGATGTGTAATTTTACAATGTGTGGTGGTCACAGGTAAAACAAGGTCTGGTCGGCACGGATAACCTTATTAGACTTGTCGGCTCGGTGTCAGTAGACTGTGTTTGTGTGGGGTATCCATGTTAGACTGCGGAGTGGTATCTCAGTGGAATAGTAATTAGTCCGTTTTAGTGCAAGTAGCCTCACACACGCACGCGCACGCACGCACGCACGCACATAGGCACACACGTGACCTTTAACATCATTACAGATAGTGTTTCCGGCAGTTCTAAGGGATGCAACTCTGTATTTTGAATCGATATTGGTGACATACACGATTCACGCCACATCTCCACGGGATAGAGGGTACGGGTGTACCGGTGAGCCGAGGCACCCTTCTGACACAGTATGTGATAGAGGAAGCACGGAAACTGATGCACATGCCATACAAAAATTAACACCATTCGTAGGATTGCCAGGTAACCGAATATATATAATATATATATATATATATATATATATAATGTTGAAACTTTAGTTAGGATCTTTTTGTCTTCAAACCCTAAAACCATGAAGAATCTCGTGAGTTCGTGAATGGGTGAGCCAGAGAGAGATAGAGAAGGAGGGAGTGAGAGAGAAAGAGGGAGAGTGAGAGAGAGAGAGAGATAGAGCGAAAGAGAGAAATAGAGAGAGAAATAGAGAGAGAGCGATATAAGCGAGAGAGAGAGAGAGAGGGAGCGAAAGAGAGAAAGCGAGAGAGAACTAGAGAGAGAAAGAGAGAAAGCGAGAGAGAAATAGAGAGAGAGAGAGAGATTGAGCGAGAGAGAGATTGAGCAAGAGATAGAGAGAGAGAGAGAGAGAGAGAGAGAAATAGAGAGAGAGAGAGAGATTGAGCGAGAGAGAGATTGAGCAAGAGAGAGAGAGAGAGATAGAGAGAGAGAGAGAGAGAGAGAGAGAGAGAAATAGAGAGAGAAAGAGAGAAAGCGAGAGAGAAATAGAGAGAGAGAGAGATTGAGCGAGAGAGAGATTGAGCAAGAGAGAGAGAGAGAGAGAGAGAGAGAGAGAGAGAGAGAGAGAGAGAGAGAGAGAGAGAGAGAATTCAGTATTTCAGTAAAGACACGACGCGTCCGTTTGGTGTAGCACGTCTTAGACGTTTACAATTTGGATGAAGCGCACGGGCACGGCTATGGCGCTGATAAACGTAATGAGAGCGGAATATGGGACCAAAACTCACGATAATATATATTTGGTACGTCTAAGGGACGCAGCTGAATTGGGTTTGAATTATTGGTGAAACTAATATCCGGCAGCTCATCATCTGTGTACACTATAAATGCAGGTGGGGTGAATATGTTGGATTAGAGGGGAAGACTGTCATTGTTAACTAGCGTATTTTATCAGGTTTCCTCAAGTGGGACACCCATAGATAGAATGTGAAGTAGGAATTTCCGCCGATCGAGGTTAAAAATATATTAAGCCATGTCCAACCAAACACTGGTTTCACATATTGTACCCCCATGCTTGTGTGGATTCGAACCCAGGTCTCCGATATCTCAAGCGAAAGTGCTAACATCTAGAATTCCTCATTGCCCCGTTGCAAATGGGAAAGTGAATCTCCAGAACATATAACGTCACCAACTTTATTCTCAGCATTCGTAAGGTGCGGAAAAATCCTATTCTTCAAGCATACTTCAACAAGCTGTTCAAATAATGAACTTATATGTAGACCGCGAAAGCGCGTAAGTCTGCTTCAGCAGAATGATCAATTCAGTATATGAAGACCGTGAAAGTCAGTAACAATTTGGAGTGAGTCTGCTTCAGCAGAATGATCAAATCAGTATATGAAGACCGTGAAAGTCAGTAACAATTTGGAGTGAGTCTGCTTCAGCAGAATGATCAAATCAGTATATGAAGACCGTGAAAGTCAGTAACAATTTGGAGTGAGTCTGCTTTAGCAGAATGATCAAAACAAAAGAAGTATTAGTGTTATTCCCCGACACGGCGCATTGTGCTGTGATTCAGATGGTATAAGTATGATACAAGGTACTGTCTGTGTCACCGATAACACTAATACAATAGAGAATCCCCGTGTGGGTGGGGTGGGAGGTGGTTCGTAAGAGGCAACTTATAGGAACGGGCGATCTGGCTTGGTGATTTGGTTGGTGGTGTGTCATCCTACCTCGACTGCATGGGTCGTAGCTCACAATATTAATCACTGGATTGTCTGGTCCAGATTTGTTATTTTACAGACCGCAATCATATCGCTGGAATGTTGTTAAACAACATGCACACGCACACGCAAACGCACACGCACACGCACATGAATACGCACACACAACAGAGAAGTTGATAAAATGATTGATATAGTTTTATTCAAGGCGGAGGAATATATCTAAAAATGGACACAAATGTAAATATAGGAACACCCGACATATTTTACAGGAACATCAATGCAACAAGTTATACTCAAAGTATGAGGATATCATATTCTTATACAAGGATTTTGGAGACGCACACACCCCAAAATAAATGCTGACTTTGTTTTTGAAGACTTACAATTTACTGGTATTATAATAGGCTGGAGGTCGATTCCGTGTGCTTTCGAAAGATTTTATATTTTGTAAAACATATAATATAATTCACATTTGTGATAAACTGCTAAGCCATTGCATTTTATGTAGCGTATTTCTTGAAACTAGCCTGATATTTTGAGTTCCTTAATCGTGAACATATACCTCTCTCCCAATATATCAGTTAACCCGAGAGTTAGTGTAGAGTTAGCCGCCAAAAATTTAACATCAATTTAGCGCACAATGGCATATCTTTAGGACAGGAAAAAATTGACGCCATAGGTACGTGACACATAATCGGTATATTGGTGGATGACTTAAGTATGCAAAGAATGCCTTATGATGTCTCCATGACGTATTTATGTTAGGTAAACATAACTATCAAACGTTATTAAATCTAGTCTCACGTAAAGCGCCTGTTTGTTGTTCGCTGTTGAGAAAGTGTTCCCCATATCTCATACACTTAGTACTCTGACAATACAAGCAGCAATCACGGTGAAAATGAATCCGGCTTTGTTAGACCCTATACCTGCAACATCAAATAGGAAATAGTGCAAGGGAATATAAAACAAGAACATTTGATTTAAAACGCAATTCAACCAGATCTCATGCCTTTTACGTTTGTTTGTTGGTTTGTTGTTTAACGCCACACTCGGCAATATTCCATCTATATGACGGCGTTTTTTAAATATTCGAGGATGGACCAGACAATTCAGTGACTGACATCATTAACACAATCTCACACTAGAGATTCACCCAAGTCAGTGAGCCTGACCACCTCATCCCGTTAGTCGCCTATTACGACAAGCATAGTCGCCTCTTAAAGCAAGCATGGGTTGCTGAAGACCTATTCTGGATCTACCTAACCTGGATCTTCACGGGTCTCATGAGGTTTATGATAGAGTGTGCGTGTATGAAATATTGAGTTGATTGAGTAAATATGGTTTCAGGCCGCGTTTTGTAATATTCCAGCAATGGCGGTGGACACCAGAACTGGGCTTCACACATGGTGCCAATGTCGGGAATCGAACCCGGGCTTTCGTTGTGACGAGCGAACGCTTTACCCACTAGGCCACCATACCGCCCCGTATGGAAATATAGTAATGCATGTAGTTAGAATTGTGATTATTTTGTTGGCAACGACTCCAGTCCAAAATGACATCGATATTATTTTGTGTTTCTCATCTTTATGTTTAGCGTCCGGTGGGAGAATGAAAAAAAGTTAAAAAGTCCAACTTATATATGTGTCATTTGTTGAGATATAAGTAAAAATGGCTTATAATTTGCATCCTCAATATTTTTAATTTGAACATTTTCCAAAATTCCATTTGCTCATAAACTCAATGATCATTTATATTCTATTATCGTGGTGCGGCGGTTGAGGGATTATATGCCGGAAAATCAAGCTACTTCCCTCACTATAAAATACGGCGACAAATCTTGGTCTTTTTGGCTTAACGCCACAATAAGCAATATTCCAGTTATAAAACGAGGGTCTTTGAAGAATCAAGTGGTTGACCCGACCAGACGACTCAGTGATTGATATTTTGTGCAACGTCCGTAGGGATGGGGGGGGGGGGGGGGGGGGGGGGGGGGTTGATGGCATGCAGTCAACCATTTTGTCCAAAACATTACAAATATTAAACTACTAGGCTGAAAACAATCATCGAAATACTGCAAACCTACCCGTAATACGTATCAAATCAGCACCGTTGAATACTGTTTATTGTTTTTGTATTTTTTAGCCACCATGAAACATGGGTTATGCTTTATTATGCGCGGAACTTTATATTGACTACATTCACGATCTTGGAAGAATCTTGCAATGGTATACTTGTAATATTGCCATATTATGGCGTAGAACATCACTCACTCACTCACTCACTCACTTCAAAACATTTTCTGTGATGCAGCAATACTATTGTCACTTGTGGCGTAATACAACATTCATTCGCTCACAGGAAGAGCTTGAAGAGATAGTCAGCTTGGTGCATAATACATGAACATCTGTGAAAACGGTCACTTGGACTAAGGAATATTTTAAATAATATTGTTGTAGATTTTGCATCGTTGTTTTGCACATGAACTTTGTTATTTTGACACCAATATTCATTCACACACACACACATACTCACACACACACAGGCAGACACAAACACCCAATCACAGACACAGACAGACGGACACGTATACACGCACAGACACATGCACAGTTAAACCACACAGGCACACAGATGGACACACATACACCAGACACATATACACGCACAGACAGACAGACAGACACACATAGACCCAACCACACAGACACACACACACACAGAGACACAGACACAGACACAGACAGACACAGACAGACACAGACACACACAGACACACACACAGACACACACACACACACACACACACACACACACACACACACACACACACACACACACACACACACACACACACACACACACACACACGCGCACACACACACACACACAGGGATTGAACTCTAGGCACCGTGTTGACTGTTTTGGTTATCATTGACACACTTGTTTTATTCATTAAGTTTGAATCATTGAAGCCGTATTATTTAGTTCTTCCTACACGTGCATACCTACATAAGGTGCTTGTACCCTACGGTTGTTGTCACGCCACAATGAAACCAAATAGTCCCGTGTCCTGACTTACCACATGCAGCATGCGTCATGAGGAGAGAGGCCATGTCCGTCATCTCCTGTATTGTCAGGGACGTACAAATCACCGTGGACCTGCGGAGGCAGGATAGGTACGCTTGTGTAATGCTGTGAAGAAAACGGTCATGTTATGAACGTCGTTTTACTGTCCAAATGGTCCTTAACATTAAGCGAACCTTTGTAATGTCGTCATGGAAAGCTAATGGAACGTGAACATGAAAGTTCAATTTGATGATATACATCTGTTGTAGAGCGACCACTTACCAAAATAGACACAACTTATGGATAACAACTTCTTTACTGCTGAGAAGGCGACGTTTCTGTATAGATCCTTATACCGTTGTCAAGCAAGGATCTAGACCGAAACGTCGCCTTTACAGCAGTAAAGAAGTTGTTATCCATAAATTATGTCTACTTTGTCATCCGTCCACTTCTAAGTAATGCCTATTAAAGACTTATCAGCTGACTTATCGGTTTCTCATAGAATTTGAGTGATTGGATTGGGTTTAGTTCTGCTTTGAACAGTTAGTACTGCAGTTATATCACTGCGTGTCAGCAGACTGTGAAGGACAAACTGGGGATGCAGGTTATAGACATTTAACACATCGAAACCCATGAGAGTGGTTATGGTGCCGACACACCAAGCTTCAGGGTCATTATTGCGACGAGTCTGGGATTCAAACCTAAAAACCGCGTACCCTGGCTGGTTTGAAAACGTCACCCGTGCAACCTCTCCAGTAGGAAATGGCATGTTGAATGTCACTGTCACTATAAAACACTATATTTTGAATTATACTTGCTCAACAGGCAACTTTGATTTAAATATATAAACCATTTATTCCTGCAATATTATCTATTCATTTGTGCGCACAATGTTGATGTTACAGGAGCAGGGACATATAACCAAGAATGTGTGGTTCAAATACACAACCAGCGGATCCTATGATCGCTGAGACACACGCACACGCACACGCACGCGCAGATCGCACGCACGCACGCACGCACGAACGCACACACACACACGCACAGATTGAACTCTAGGCATCGTGTTTTGATGGTTGTTAGGGTTATCGATGATACACTTGTTTTATACATTAAATCATTGAAGTCGTACCATTTAGTTCCTCCTACATGTACGTACCTACATAAGGTGCTTGTACCCCCTACGGTTGTCGTCATGTCACCATGGAACTCCCGCAAGCAGACAAAACTGTCGCAGTCTTGACCAATCACCACATTCCCGATTCCTAAAGAAGAAGGCTCGTGTAATATGTACACGTCTAACCACAGTGTGCTTTGATTTGTTTGCTTGTTTGTTGTTTAACGCCGCACTCAGCAATATTCCAGCTATATGACGGCGGTCTGTAAATAATCGAGTCAGGACCAGACAATCCAGTGATTGACATCATGAGCATCGATCCACGCCATTGGGATCGATGACATGCATCAACCGAGTCAGCGAACCTGACCACCCGATCCCGTTAGTCGCCTTTTACGGCAAGCATGGGTTGCCGGAGAGCTATTCTACCCCGGAATCTTCACGGGTCTTTGGAGTAAGTGCGTCATTCATTATGTGGGAAGGTAAAATGGGGTTAAGGTTGCGTCCAAAAATACTGAACTTCTCTACCGACGTGCATGCGGGTGTGTATGATGTGCGTGCGTGCGTGCGTGCTTGTGTGCTTGTCTGTTTGTTCTAGTCCGGACTAATGCCGGTTATATTCGTAGCCACCTGAGACACAATGTCACTCTCAAGCTTTCATAATTAACCGCAGTTAGTACTGCAGGAGTTATCGCTGATGACAGCAAGATAATATTTTACAACGCTTTTTTGGTTTATATCGTTGTTGACTAGTTAGGTCCGATGTATTATTGGGTATGAGTTTTTCATGGACACCCCACCTCCACACATTATACTCCAGGCCGATCAGCCCTAATGTGATCCCTTCATGACGAGCGCCAGGCAGTGTAACAACAAGTAGCATCCTGTAACGTATTTCTGTATGACGCCGCCGGCGGGATCGAACCAGAGACCTTTCGCTCTATCCACTAGGCCACGGTAGCGGTCCATTGTGTGGGAAAGATGAACTCAAAGTGGAATGCCGCCCATTTAATATCCTTTGTGACATTTTACCGAACTGTTTAAATAGCGTTCCTCGGGCAAACCTTTTTTTTCTCAAAATGAAATTATGTTAACGAGGTCCGACAAACCCACGAAGATCGAGGAATAATATAAATCGTGTGCATGCTAATGATAATCAATTTATCTGTCATGGGCACTTATAGAAATTTTTTTGTGTAGGGTTATTAGATTTAATTACAGTAAAACAATTAAAAATGTTTCAGGGGGAGTTAGTTGTAATGATAATATTCTTGAGATTCATCTTCCTTGAACAATTCGCTATTCAATTCATACCATGCTTATTATAGAAATTTAAAACGTCAACGACAGAGACAGATTCCATTGGGCAAAAAAAGTGATGAGAAATTATATGAATGGATCACTGACCGCCTCCGTGGTCTAGTGGTAGAGCGTCCGCCCGGAGAGCGGAAGGTCTGGGGTTCGATCCCCGGCTGCGTCATACCAAAAGACGTTAAAAGATGGTACTTGTTGTTACCCTGTCTGGCGCTCGGCATTAAGGGGCTAAAACAAGGACTGGTCGGCTCGGAGTCAGTATACTGTGTCTGAGTGTGGTATTCATGTTAAACTGCGGCATGGGTAGGCTAGCACTATAAATCGGCATCAGTCCGGACTAGTACAAGCAGCCACACACACGTGCATGCACGTCGCTATATAAGTGCAATAATCTTAGATGCGACGTTAAACCCAATTTCACCTCACCTCACCTCACCTCACCTCCACCCGTGGTATCCTCCACTCACGCAATCTGCATAAAGCGTGAGTGTGTTTTAGTTGTTGCCCATTGCTTTGACGAAAGATTTACATACGATCCACCCATGGATACTGTGAATAGAACATTTATGCAGCATATTCCATATGCATAAGAAATCTCCGACAACATCATGAACATGTGTTTATGAATAAAATAGTTATGATACTAGGTGTTCACGGAAAAGTGCGCGTATCCTGCCCAACCGGTGGCACCCGTCACAAACACGAGAGTGTATGGTTCAGTCAAAATAGGGAATTGCATCGGACATCATATTTATAACAGATGCTCTGAAACACTTTTGTCACTGAAACTCTCAAACACTCACCCGTGAACAACACAATGATGTACAACCATCCGCTCTTGGTTAAAGTCAGCCCTACCATTACTGTTGTACTGAGTGGGAAACAGGAGGGTTGTCAGCAGTGTAGAACTACCTCGATTATATTGATGTTAACACTGACACCGTGGACCTGATACCACAAGTATGTACTGGTATGGTGAAGACAATGGCTGGTATCTTGATAATACTGGAAACCAGTCAACCGTCCTTTGGACTGGTTGATCTTGGAACGAAGATGTGAACTTGATATGATATGCACGCCATCCTGAACAAAATACTTGAGGTAATATACAATGTACATGTTTATGTTAATTTGCCCCGTTGACAACGGCGGAGACATAGTTCTGTGTTGGAATGGGAATGACTTCTGTTTAATTTAATGTGTATTATACAAGGAGAATTCAGGCGTATTGTTGGTGCATTTTGGACAATACAGCCAAGTGTGTTAGAGCATTGCAAAGTTTAATCATCGGACTGGAAATACGAGGACTGATAAAAAAGTTCTAAGCCAATTGTCAACTATGGGCAATAACAAAGTGAACTAGTCAATGTAGTCCATTGTTTCAGAAGTTCATTGCAAGTGTATTTGGTCTGTTCAGGCCGTTTTTATATCTGTTTGTTTGTTTGTTGTTTAACGCCACACAATTGCGAACACAAGTCAGCGAACCTGACCATCCGATCCCGTCAGTCGCCTTTTACGACAAGCATGGATTGCTGAAGACCTATCCTACCTCGGAATCTTCACGGGTCCGATATAACTAATTATATACTGAACTGTTCAACAATATTGTTTGCCGACGACACATCACTGGGCATATAATCTAAAAACATTCAAAGTACTATGAATAGCAAATTTAATTAAAATTACCAAATATAAGAATTGGTTCAAGACTGTCTAATTCAGAATAATCCCACCAAAACAAAATCAGGTTTTGTTTTCACATAAAGAGCCGCATCAAAATTATTTTGGGATAATGAAGGGGTGGTCATGCGATTTAGATGTGTTTACCTTGAAAGACCACAATTCAGTCAACTGATATGCCAATGTGTGCCTGTCCTTCTAGATGTTGATTTTGTTGAGATTGTGATCTTTCCAATACATTTTAATTCATGCATCTATCCTTTGTTGTCTTTAAACAATGATGATTTAAGACTATTGTAAAGTTTCTTTTGACCGTCAGTGTATTGACAGTGTTCCAGCTATATCATGACGAAAGCCTGTTTGTAATCATGAGTAAGGTCCTACGCGAAGTTGGTACGATGACCGCAATTGTTTGTTTGTTTGTTGTTTAACGCCGCACTCAGCAATATTCCAGCTGTATGACGGCGGTCTGTAAATAATCGAGTCTGGACCAGACAATCCAGTGATGAATATCATGAGCATCGATCCACGCAATTGGGATCGATGACATGCATCAACCAAGTCAGCGAGCCTGACCACCCGATCCCGTTGGTCGCCTTTAAAGACAAGCATAGTCACCTTTTACGGCAAGCATGGGTTGCTGAAGACCTATTCTTCCCCGGAATCTTCACGGGTCTGACCGCAATTAATCAATTTACCAGACCACATGTCTTTAGTCGCCTCTTACAACCAGCAGAGACTGTGATTTTACTGATATATCCAGGTGGTCGCGAAAACGGTGAGACGACTTTAAAAAAGAAGGTCACATGCCTAGATACTTTTATGAAAAAGTTATTTCTATTTATCGTTCAGTGACGGAAAATTTCTTCTTGGGAAGTGAGTTAGTTGAGTAATTTATAAATGGGTTATGAGTGAGTGAGTGGGTAATTTTAGCAATATTCTAGCAATATCAGACAGACAGTTCATTCAGTCATTTAGGCACCAATGCCCATAGTACAATGCAGATTGGATATTAACATTTGTCACGTGATGTACATGATTAGATTGTAAATCAAGTTACACATTCCTCATTATAAAGACATGTTTTAAGAATACAGAAACAGCATGGATCATATCAGGATTTTCAGAGTTTAGCAGATTTATCATTAACTGACGGTCTTTAAAAATACCTTCCAACATGGGGAGAAATCTGTACATGAAATTGGAATACGTTTCACATATAAGTAAGACATGGTATTCATCCTCTACTTCTCCGGATGAACAGTGTGTACAAATAGAGTTCACCATATCACCGTCTTTGGACCTTCGACATATATTTACATTAAAATTATGCAATGAAATTCTATGTTTACAATAAGCTCTGATTAAACTTTTATCAGTTAAATATCTTTCAGTTTGTAACAATGATTTTACTTTGCTGTAATTGCTAAGATAACGTGATTCAGAAATACTTTGCTGCCACTGTTGACAAAATATATCCTTTAGTCTTTGCTTAAATGAATATAAAAATAACTGTGGATCTCCCACATCTTGGGAAATCCATACATATGAAAAGCCATTAACAAAAAATAGATTTCTCACATCTGAAACACAATTATTTTTACCATTGTCATCAAGTACCTTTAACATTTTGTAACACTGATATGGGTATCTATCAGGCATAATTCTAAGTAACTTAATCCAATACTTAATTACCCTTAATTGGCTGGCTACAAAAATATTACTACAGCCTGTTTCACCAAGGATAACCTTGTTTGAGGCAAACACCTAGAAAAATTTGGAAATATGAAGTGTGAACTTTTTCAATTGCAGCGTAATACTTGAGAACCCCACATTTGAGAACCATACAAAAGTATAGGCATAATTTTGCCTTCAAAAATGGTACATGCTCTGAAAAAGGACACACGACTATTTTTCCTGAATATATTATAAAGAGGCATAATGACTTTGGACGCCTGAACAGCTAATTGCTTACATGCCATAGACCATGACAATCTAGAGAAAAACATAAGACTTAAATATTTATAGTAAGTGACTACACTCAAGGCAGACGAACCAAGACACCGCTTTTCATGTTTTGTTTCATTTAACCGTTTTTGCAAGCCATTTACAGAATAGGAACAAATTACAACATCATCAGCAAAGAAAAGGAGAATAATGTCCATTATTTCTTGTGTTACAAATATCCCATTGTGACAACTATTTTGCAGCTCTATAGCAAGTTCATTTATGAAAAATATAAACAACAACGGACTTAAAACACAACCTTGTCGTACACCGGAAGATGTTGTAAAGCAGTCAGTGCGTTCATTATTGATCTTTATACATGCGCTGACTGATGCATACATGTTTTTTAAAAGTACAGACATTTTACCATGACATCCCTAAGTAATAAGTAAATACATAATTTTTTTCCTAGGATAGTCAAAAGCTTTTTTTAAAGTCAATAAATACACAATAAAAGCGAACTCTGGTTTTGCAAATTATCAACAGTAGAGTAGTTTGGTCAGAACCCTGCTTGAGACTAGGTGAGTAAATCATGTACTTCCATCCATATTCTCAAACGTTTTTCTATGATTGACGTGAAGATTTTTCCCATAACATTTAGTAGTGAAATGCCTCTATTACTTGGTTCACAAACTGAACCAGATTTATATAATGAAATAATCATACTTATATTCCAAGATTCTGGAAAAACACCCGTGTCTAAAATCTCATTGAACAATACCTTCAAGTATGGTGCAAAGAGATTCGATGGTAGTTTAAAGAATTCCGGGGGTATCCCATCTTCACCTGCAGACTTGCCCGTACTCAGGTTATTGATAGCGTTCGTGACCTCTCTTTCAGTGATCTCACCTGACAAGAGTTCATCCGAAAAGGGTAAATCATTACAGTTATCACATGTATGAGAGAGCAGAAACTCCTCCACAACACAATCAAACTCATTATTATCAGTTCCTTGTAAGGGATTAAGAAGATCTCTAAAGTAAATCAGCCAGTCACTTGGAGATATATAACTTCTCAGTGGACGTCTCTGTATGGCCTATTTCACCGTCTTCCAAAACTGTTTACAATCACTGTGTTTAGCAGCAGTATTGATTTCTTCATTTAGATGTAAGTCGTAGTTAAGTTTATTTTTGTTGCAACATTTCTTAAAACCATCTTTGGCTGATATGTACTGCTTTAAGTTTGAAGCACACTTACAACTTCTAAATTTCTTCAAAAGTCTGTATTTCTTGGACTTCAGAATCTCGCACTCCTTAACAAACCACGGAGGCTGTTATTTTTGTCTACCTGTAGTTCCTATAGAAACAGCACCAGCTGACTCTCTGAGTTTACATACTGCAGCATTTACATTTTGATCTACCAATAATATATATTCTTCAAACATCACTTTACAAATATCTTCGCTGAGATACTTAATATAAGATGAAAACTGTTCTGGAGATAATTTATATTTAGGAACATAGGATAAATTAACAGGAGCAGTACTATCCTTGTAGACTCTACCAGTAACAATATCCTTGAAACTGCACACTAAAGGTAAGTGATCAGACTCTGTGCGTGGTAAAAATGACATATCTAATACATTTGGAAATAACTCAGTAGATACAATAAAATAATCGACAACGCTGCAACCTGTATAGGAGATGAAGGTAAAGTTACCAGAGCTATCCAGTACAGATCTCCCATTTACAATATGTACACCAAATAGCTTACAGAAGTCTAATAGGGAGACAACTTATCCTTAATTCTGAAAAAAGGTTAGTGTTTTAGTGGCTGTAAACTCTTTCAAAGAGATGTGTCAAAGTCTTTCTCACACATTCTAGCAATACCACGGCAGGGGACACCAGAAATGGGCTTCACACAAGATGTCGTATGAAGGACCACTTTAAGGCAGAAAGTCCATGGCCTCCAGCATGTACTTCCGACCACCTCCGTGGTCTAGTAGTAAAGCGTCCGGGAGAGCGGAAGATCCGGGGTTGGATCCCCGGCCGCGTCATATCAAATGACGTTAAAAGGTGGTACTTGTTGTTACCCTGTCTGGCGCCGTAAGGGTCTAAAACAAGGACTGGTCGGCTCGGAGTCAGTATACTGTGTCTGAGTGGGGTGTTCATGTTAAACTGCGGCATGGTATCTCAGTGGGCTAACACTATAAATCGGCATCAGTCCGGACTAGTACAAGCAGCCACACACACACACACACACGCACACGCACACACCCACACACGAGCATGCACGTCGTAATATAAGGGCCGTAATCTTGGGCGTGACGTTAAAGTCAGATGTAAACGTAAAGGTATGTAAAGGAGTGAGTGTGAATGAGTTTTTAACAGTATTCCAGTTAATGTGGAGGAAAGCCCGAAGTGATGTAGGTCTCAGACGTTTACCACTTCGGTATGGTGCTGACAAACCTAGAAACATAATCGGGGCGAACCGGGATTCGAACCCACAATCATAGGTTTCTGGCGTCCCCAAGGGACGCGACTCTGCACAGCTGGCCCACCCCCTATGGAAAGGAACATTGGCTGTAGTCCCTTCAACATATCATACGAACACGGGGTTAGTTCAAGACATAAAGGGGGCGGTCGGGTAGCCTAGAGGTTAAAGCGTTCGATCGTCACGCCGAAGACCCGGGTTCGATTCCCGACATGGGTACAATGTGTGAAGCCCATTTCTGGTGTCCCCCGCCGTGATATTGCTGGAATATTGCTAAAAGCGGCGTAAAACCATACTCACTCACTCACTCAAGACATAAAGAAACAGAAATACCTTTTGAATGAGCATTCCCGTGACTTTAATCTTCACTTTCAAAGGTCGCTACAATGAATGATACGTACTGAATGTCACCTGACAACTCTTCTTAACGTAATGAGCCTTTCGGCCTGTGACCGTGAGAGTGAACTTGCGTTAATTACATGCTTTCCAAGAACCTTCCCAATGTCTGTACAGCATAGAAGCAAAACATGAGGTCCACAGGCGGAATTTAATTTAATTCTATGCAGCTTATGTTACACATTGAACAAACATATAGGTCATCCGCCACTGCAGTCTTTAGATTACCATCACTTGTCATGAAGACATAACTACATACTGCATGTCCCCTTTCAGCAGGAAGGGGCTTTTCAGTGAATTAGTCAACATTGCTAAAATAAAACGTAAAAAAATAAAGTATCACACTTTAACCTGTCTGGATACTAAGTAAGGCAAATTCGCAAAGTTTCAAAAGCATTTGTACTAATGTGTTAATTATAAGGCATGTGAAACTATTTAAACCATAGTTTTGTCCGAGTAACATTGCAACCAATATCTTTTGGTTGGTTAACCTGTTGGTGGTGTTTTGCATATAGCGACAGACAGGCATGTTGAAGATCGGCGATGTACCTAGATACCCGGAGAATCTGTTCTGATATATTTCGCGCCCCCCTCAGTGTAAAGCCCCCCCCCCCCCGATTATTCGGTTTGTTGAAATGTCTTTAGGTACTATATTTTTTAAATAGTTATCTTTAATGTAAGGAGGGTTACTTTAAAAATAGATTATGAAATATGGTCATATTTTATTTGGTAACTGTACCTTCCATACTAAAACAATTATTAGACATAATCATACCAAACAAATTTGAATGAAATGACTTAATGTAACAAATACATGTACCGGTACGGTTACTGTTGTAACTGAATTCAGAAATCTAATTAATCCTCGCAAACATTCGGTTTTAACACTAACTACGTAAAAACTGTCAACATATCCTCGCGCGCCTCCAGCTCAGGCTGTCCGTTATACTCTGATTTAAGATCTAAAATATATTCCTTAATACAGGCTACGATTTGAAAATGGTATCAGTGTAATATCAGTGGCTAGAATATCATGGTGCAACCAGGTTTCTGTTAAACATACAACTTCATAACTATCTAATTCAGCACTGATTAAATCTACTTTGTCTTTAAGACTGCGTACGTTTAGATGTAAAATCTTTAAATCTGGACTATGCAAAGGTCCTGGATTCGGATGGATATCACCGCAGCAGAAGAGAAAAAGTAAAACTAAGAATGATAATCGGAAATTATATAAGCAAAGTAAGCCAAAATATAGAGAAATGTCTATCATCTTCCCGAAATGATTAGCATGTAGAATAGATTCAAAAACACCCACCGCCAGTCTGTATTGAACAACATCAACCGGCATCGTCAAAGCAAAGTGTACAGTCATGTAATTGTTACAATCGGGCTGGCGGTGAATCTTAATAAAGAACACCTTGTTAAAAAGACACACCGAAACTGAGAGGGGGGGGGGGGGGGGGGGGGGGGGGGATTGGGATCGATGACATGCATCAACCAAGTCAGCGAACCTGACCATCCGATCCCGTCAGTCGCCTTTTACGACAAACATGGGTTGCTGAAGACCTATTCTACAACGGAATCTTAACGGGTTTGATATAACAAATACACTGAACTGTTCAACAGTGCCGACGACACATCACTGGGCATAAAATCTAATAAGATTGAAGCCACCTATGAATAGCAAATTAAATTAAAAATGGGGGGGACGGGGGGGGGATTTTATTCCGGGGGCGAATATATTTCGTGACACCGGCTCGGAGTCAGTATATAGTATTTTTGTGGTATCTCAGCGGGCTTGCCTCAATAACCCCGGACTGGTACAAACAGCCACATAAATACATGCATGCATCAATCTTACGTCGATGAAGTAAACCTCATTTAACGCCTGTTTGGTTTATGGATTCTCTCGTTTCCGTGCACCGGTCGATGAAGTTTAATACTTAGAAGTTTTAGTGTCCAAAGCATTCACTAGATCTGGCGCTTTGAGGACGGAAGACTTGAACGGTTGAGGATCCGTAACAAGGTAGTGTATGCTTGTAGCATGTCGTCCAACTGGAACTAATGGTGCTAATCACGGGTTTTTAGTTTATGGTTGCTCTCATTCTGACGTGAATACAAGTAAGTGTGTGTGTGTGTGTGTGTGTATGTGTGTGTGTGTGTGTGTGTGTGTGTGTATGTGTATGTGTGTGTGTGTGTGTGTGTGTGTGTGTGTGTGTGTGTGTGTGTGTGTGTGTGTGTGTGTGTGTGTGTGTGTCTGTGTGTCTGTGTGTGTGTGTGTGTGTCTGTCTATCTCTGTGTGTGTCTGTGTGTGTCTGGATGTTCGGATGTAGGAACGTCGACTAACGAACGAATCTCATTGAAATCAAATCTATTTCTCCGATGCGATATCTCCAATCGTGAACTTTCATATCGATTAAGTGAAGCATTCAGAGACGCATATCTAGTTTCTAGTTAGCGATTATACCCGGAGTGTTCCGTTTCCAACTAAAGTATGATATTGTTGTGTATAGATTACATATTCTGCTCAAACTGAGCACTGCCTCCGTGGTCTAGAAGTAGAGCGTCCATCCAGAGAGCGGAAGGTCCTGGGTTCGATCCCAAAAGGCGTTAAAAGATGGTACTTGTTGTTACCCTGTCTGGCGCTCGGCATTAAGGGGCTAACCTAGGATTAGTCGGCTCGGAGTCAGTATACTGTGTCTGAGTGTTTGTGAGGTGAGGTGAGGTGAAATGGGGTTTAACGTCGCGTCCAAGATTATTGCATTTATATAGCGACGTGCATTTACGTGTGTGTGTTTGTACTAGTCCGGACTGATGCCGATTTATAGTGCAAGCTCACTGAGATACCATGCCGCAGTTTAACATGAATACCCCACTCAGACACAGTATACTGACTCCGAGCCGACCAGTCCTTGTTTTAGCCCCTTAATGCCGAGCGCCAGACAGGGTTACAACAAGTACCATCTTTTAACGTCTTTTGGTATGACGCGGCCCGGAATCGAACCCCGGACCTTCCGCTCTCCGGGCGGACGCTCTACCATTAGACCACGGAGGCGGTCGTAGAGTTTGTGTGTCACGCAGCAGGTACTTGAAAAGTGAAGCTGACACTTCACATGATTGTTTCCTCCAGTGATGACACCTAATTTCGTTCATGTGGGACCAGTTCATGTGCCTACACCGCCGTGATATTGCTGGAATATTGCTAAAAGTGGCGTTAAACCTCACTCACTCACTCATATGCCTATATTTGTTTCAGAGGTTTGAATACGATTTACAATTTGGCCGCTTACCAAGTTCTGTAATTACTGACTTCAATATATTATTTTTCAATTTACTTTTAACAAAATAGAAGCTATGGATGTGTTGGCGCAGTTGTATCTTTGTGGTTTCGTACAAATTTGTATTTTGTTGTGTTTGATAAGTACAAACCTGTCATTTTAAATACGGATGTATGTGGATTCTTACATGAACATAAACTGACGTCCAAAAGAAACTTTACCAACTGAAAATATAAACTTCAGACAAAGTATAAAATGTTTTTCGATGAAGTCTATCTAAAACACATAACCTCAATAAGTAGTATAGGTAATGATGGTTCTGGCTCACTTCCAGTGGAGCCGGATTCATATACCTATACTGCTACTACAGGGGGCATTTTTTATGCCAAAATGACTATGCGATTCAACGATAGTCATAAGATTAAGTTAAATTGACTCCAGCTCACCACCACCTGGAGTCTATGATACAAATTTTTTATACGTAATGATGGTTCTGGCTCACTTCCACTGGAGCCGGATTCATATACCTATACTGCTACTACAGATGGAATTTTTTATGCCAAAATGACTATGCGATTCAACGATAGTCATAAGATTAAGTTAAATTGACTCCAGCTCACCACCACCTGGAGTCTATGATACAAATTTTTTATACGTAATGATGGTTCTGGCTCACTTCCACTGGAGCCGGATTCATATACCTATACTGCTACTACAGATGGAATTTTTTATGCCAAAATGACTATGCGATTCAACGATAGTCATGAGTTGTATTAAACGAAACATCAATATTAATTAATAATGGATAAAATTTACTATAGCCCACGAGGATATTGGAAAGGTGTAGGAGCAATAAAAAAATTAGCCACCGCGGCTAAGGTATCTAAAGATGTGGCCAAGGATTGGTTAAAGAAACAAGCGATGTGGCAAATATATTTACCGGCATCGCGTTATATACCGAGGAAGAAGTTTGATATTTTTACGACGAATGAAGTTCATCAGGCTGACCTCTTGTTTCTTCCCCACGATAAGGTAAAACGCAAAACGTATAAATACGCTTTAACAGTAGTAGATGTGGCTAGTCGATACAAAGAGGCTGAGCCATTAACCTCGAAAGAATCAACAGAAGTAGCTAATGCACTGAGTCGCATATATAAACGCGGACCACTAAAATGGCCTAAGCTATTTCAAGTAGATCCCGGTTGCGAGTTTATGGGATCGGTAACTAAACTCTTAACAAAGCACGATGTCGAAATCGTCCGTGGTGAAAGAGAGGCCCACCGCAGTCAAGCTATCGTCAAAAGATTTAACAGGACATTAGCGGAACGTTTGTTTGGCTATCAGTATGGGATCGAAATGAAATTGGAACGATTGAGATCAACCGAATGGGTGACACGATTATCAGCCGTTGTATCAGCGCTGAATAATGAAGTGACGAGATTAATAGGGAAGAAACCATCCGATGCTATTAAAATGAAATCCGTGACTTCCGAATCTTCAGCACCGAGGAGAGGCAAAGAACGAAAACTTCCGGATAGAGTAAGGGTAAGATATTTATACCAGGCCGGTGAACTCGAAGGAGGCCTACGTCGCGCAACTGATCCCATAAGACGTATAACATTAGTCGATTGGTTACGAAAGAAGGAGCGCCTATTCTTTATTATCTTCAAGATGGACCGGGTAGGGCATTTGTACGAGAAGAGTTGTTCATAGTTCCCGACGGTACGGTATTACCACCATAACCATAAGCATAGGTAGTTACACCATCATTATCAATCCATCTCTTTGTATCTAAGGGGGATAATGATGTCTTGTTCATTCTTAATCCATATATCCTATGATTGTAACTTCTTAAAGAGTTCATCTTGTGTTTGAACGTTCTACCGTTGAATAATGATTCTTTATACTGTTCGTGTTTGATATGCTTTTTTACAACATACTTCTTAACGCCCTTAGCTTTTCTTATCTCTCCATTATCGGACTTCTTTATAGAATACATCTTAGGTCTTAATCCTACATACTCCGCTATAGGGGTCCCAGCACATTCATCCTTCATCTTACCTAATACCTTTTTATTTACAACGTTGTGCAGTGGATTATCTTTAGGATAATCGCTTGTGTCGTACATATCTATTTTTTCTGCCATATCTTTATACACATCCTCGGTTTGTATTTCCATCAACAAAGAATCTGTGTCGGTATATAACACCTCGCATCTATCGCCGTATTGCTTCTTAAGTTCATTGTAATAAAAGTCATACATTAAGTGTTTTGACAAGTCGAGAATACTCATACCAACGTACACCGGTCTGTTGAATTTTATATTACTCTTCTGCATATGCAACGCGGCTAAGTCGTTATCGAATATCTTGCTTCTGTTAAAAGCCGGACTGGCTATAAGTTTCCTGAGTCTTTCTTCCTCATTAGATCTGACTAATTTAACATCAACACGCTTCCTTAGATTCTCCATAGTTTTACCAAATACCGAGTTATTCATGAGCTTATATAGATTCTTTTCGAAATCGCTGGTAGCTATCTTTCTTAAATCTGTGTTCAACCTTATATAGGGCTCCATCCAAGGGCTTTGATCAAACTTTAGAACTCTGTGTATTTTCTTAAGTTTCATACCTAACGATAGATGCAACTTGAGATTTCTGTATTGACTTATATATTTTGTCTTATCCATCAAATTTGGTACGAGTTTTTCTACGTTAGCTAACCTACTATTACCCATCAGGGAGCATTGATATTCCGACATCCAATCTTTATTAACCATTAATCTTTCGGGAGCTAGCGGATAACTGTTATGGTCTTTATGTAACGAACTTGGATATTCCAAGTCAACTTCTAGTATGTACCCTTTATTCTCATCATTATTATGGATATTAGTAACATTGATATCATCGACCCACTCAAAACCACCTGTGGGTAAAGGTTGACTTATAGCCCATCCGTACAAATTGTTAGCTTCGAGAAATAATATGTGCGTGTCGGGTTTACTCGGATCGTATCCTTCCACTAATTTATTATTAGCCTTAGAATACCTTTTAGCTGCCATCGATATACCACCTCTTAATCCTTTCTCAATAAACAAGTGCATATCGTAATCTGTGAGTAATTTTAGTTCTACGCCGGTCTTCTTCAACAATGCATCCCACGATAGTCCGGGACTGGAATAGTACCATGCCGGGTCCAAGCCGTATTGTTTTAAACATGTCTTTCTAAATATCTCGAATATATCGGCGAGTAACAGTACATCGGTTTTTAAGTACAGATAGTGATAATCGCCTAAATTCTTACAACCTAATTTATCCCAGACCGTCAGAGCGTGTTCATAATCGGCATCTGTTATTCTAGATTCTAGTTACTATAGAATGATTCGAGGGGTGGTAATTCAGTTTCTTCGAATCTAGACCAATCATCCATATATTCGTAAGGATATACACCTTTTCTCAGGAACAAATGACGAGTTATCTTATCGGTATATTGATTTGTTGTCGCGAAGTCATCGGGATTGTTCGCATTAACTAAATTGTCCAGGGAAGATAACAGAAACTGTACAGAGTCTATGAATCTAAGCCCATTACTTTGCTTTATTTTAGATTTCCCATCCTTGTCCCTATAATGTATAGGTTTAGTCAACGAGAACGATATGTATTTTTCCATATTGTTAGAAAAGCACGTTAAACCGCCGTCGGTCTTTGAGATTGCTTGCATAATGAGATGTGAATCGTATCCCCTAAGGTTA